CGGGTGCCGGCCTGCGCCCCGAGCCCGAGTGGCGGCCACCTCTACCTCCCGAGCCCGCGCGGATGTGAGATCCCGGGAGCCGGGCGCCTCCCGATCGCCGGCTGAGGTGCTCCACGGCTTGGCCCCGGAGGCGGCGGCCGGGCTGACTGTGAGGCTTGTGGATTTTTTAAAAATTTGGCTCCGGGGAGGACCATTTCCTCTCGACATGCATCCCTCCGGATAGACTGCACATCCTTCAGTCCACCCTCCGCCCCGCGCTGTCCGAGGCAGGCGCTGGGTGGGCGAAGAGGATCCGGGTTGAAATCTGCGCCCCCGGTTCTCGTCCCCGCCCCGTCCCGCCGCCCCCTCCCCCTCCGGGACTCGAAATTGCCGGGGGATTATGTTTCGGAAAGGTAGGTGAGCGCCGGGCGCGGCGCCTGCTTCTCCGCACACGGACCCGGAGAACCAGCGAGGCAGCCCCCGCGGCTTGCAGCGGAGGCGACAGCTCGTCTCCTCCCGTGGAGGTGTCGCCGGTGGTGGGGGGAGAGACTTGCTCCAAAAACGGACGTCTCCAGCTCTCCCCCCTCCCTGTTTTCCGTTAGGAATCCGGCGAGGAAATACATGCACTCACTGAGAATCGCCGGCGCCAGGGCGCAGCGCCACAAGGTGTAGCGAGAGAGTGGGGTGGGGCGAGAGGGGACCCACGAGTCCCCCAGGCTCCCAGCGCGCCTGCTGCCTGCTCTTCATTCCTGCCCTCGGGGCGGACAGAGTGACCCCGGCTCCAGTTCCCTGCCCCGACCATGGTAGTGTTCAATGGCCTTCTTAAGATCAAAATCTGCGAGGCCGTGAGCTTGAAGCCCACAGCCTGGTCGCTACGCCATGCAGTGGGACCCCGGCCACAGACTTTCCTTCTGGACCCCTACATTGCTCTCAATGTGGACGACTCGCGCATCGGCCAAACAGCCACCAAGCAGAAGACCAACAGCCCGGCCTGGCATGATGAGTTCGTCACTGATGTGTGCAATGGGCGCAAGATCGAGCTGGCTGTCTTTCACGATGCTCCTATAGGCTACGACGACTTCGTGGCCAACTGCACCATCCAATTCGAGGAGTTGCTGCAGAATGGGAGCCATCACTTCGAGGACTGGGTGAGTCCAGCCCCTCCACGTCCAGGAGCCCGGGGCCCCAGGGAAAGACTTGCTGCCTCAGGATTGGTCATGGGGCTCAAGGGTGTGTGTGTGTGTGTGTGTGTGTGTGTGTGTGTGTGAGAGAGAGAGAGAGAGAGAGAGAGAGAGAATTTCCTTGAAGAGGCACGTTTCATTTCGTAGCTGGAGAGACATACACATTAAGATAAGAAATATGAGATGTGGCAGGTGGGCACTGTCCCTTGGCCCCTATGTGCCCTCCGGAAAATGGGCAGTACAGGGGGCTTGCAAGTTGGGAGAGCCCCAGAATGCAGGTGCATAGCTTGGCGGAGGCACCTGCCACCTTCTGCAAGTGCCTGGTGGGCTGACTGAGTGATTGTGTGTGGGTGAGTCTCTCCGTCCTTGGAGAGACACGTGGAGCTCAGACTGGAGGTTTCTTGTGCATCCTGGCGTTGTTCTGGGTAGCCCAGGGAATAGCTTTAGAGATCCCTCTGGTGGAAAACCTCCTTGTTCCTAAATCACCGGTTAGTCCATCTGCTGACATACAAGAAGAAGGTGTGAGTCCCAGAGACATCAGGCCAGCTTGTTTTGTCCATCACTTTAGAATGCTGTATTTTATTTTTAAAGGTTCTGTTCATGGTTGTAGGAAGTCAGGACTCTGAATCTTAAGATGACATGCTTCCATGGTTTGATTGCCAAGACACTGTATGATCAAACACTATTTCTGAAATTGAGTTAATTGTTAACTGATTACACTGTCAAGTATTAGGACTTTGAAAAAAAAAAAAAAAGGCCCTGCCAATATACCTTAAACCAAATGCATTCAGCCTTGGCACTTGGACAGTTGGAGAAACCAGTCCTCCCCCACCCCCTCTCTTCTTGGAGGAACAGTGTTAAATTAGGAAATGAATAACTCTGTCTTCAGATTTGTTGCGTGTTTCTATCTGGAGCAAGTGTTGCTATGGGATGAATATATTTTCAAGATTCTTTGGTTTGCACAGAGCTGTCTGTGCTGCCCTCCTGAAGAGTTGCAGAAGAATCGCTTTCTGCTGGAAACACAGATAACTTCATGAATATCTTAGGGGTCAGAGGGTGCACATGTCCTTGGCATATCCCTTTACAGCGTATTTTTAAACATATTTTTCAGGGACAGGGAATTTTAGGGGGAAATAGGGGGAAAACTGCTCTTTTCATGCTCCTGGCTGTGATAGAGCCTTCCGGGAGCCATGGTTACTAAAGGGGCTTTTAGGTCAACCCTAGTAAACCACATGAGTTGAGGAGCTCTAAGAGATCGGTGGCTTCCTCTTTAGACAGCAGGCAAACCGTAGGATCCTGAACTCAGCTTTCCTTCCCTTCTGGCCCCCTGTCATTTTACTGTTATCCATGGTGATGCCCAAAGGGGCATGGAGGGATCACTAACTTCAGAAACAGACTTGAGTGTTAAGCATCTGGGGTTTTGCATAAAAAGGGGAAGAACACTTTGACTCCAGTAGCAGGAAGGTGGGGCGTTTTTTTTGCAGGAGGTGCTAAGCGGGGATAAACAGTGGGCTGAGAGCAGTGAAGGTGAACAGCAGGTCCGTGTTTTCCACATGCATGTTCCAGTTGGAAGGCTGCTTCCGAGTGTCTCTGGTAACCCTGAACTGGGGTCTACTCCAGACGCAGGGCAGGCAGAACAGGATGCTACCCTCTCTCCTCCTCAGCTCTTCTAGGGAAGTGTGCAGACTAGCTCGTGGCTTGATAGCCATTCTCCAAGGTTCTTACATTTATGCTGGATTTGGCTCTAGACCAGATCTTCTAGTGCACAGGCAAAATTTCCAGACAAGGACATTGAGTTCCAGAGAAGCTAAGTGGGTACCCAAGGTCGCATGGCAAGCACAGGTGGGTTGGAGGTTGAGCCCTCACCTCGTCTTCCTCACTGTTTGCCCAGTGGGGAACAGCCTGTCTGGCCTCCCAGGCTATTTATTAGCCCTGCCGATTCATATGCTGTGGCCCTGACATTTTTATTGTGTGCGATAACGTAAAGTGCTTTCAAAATCATTATCTCTTCTGCCTTGTAGCAAGTGTGAATTGGATGTGACAGGCATTGGACAGATTAAAAACAAGACCGAGAGCAGCCCAAAGAATGAATCAAACCGTGGAGCTGGTTCTGACTCAGGGATGCTGGGGCTGCTCTCTGAGATGAATATGGGGACCCCAGCAACACGGTTAACCAGCCTGGAAACAGAGACAGGTGCAAAAGGGCCACCTTCCCCATGTCTGTCACCCAAGGACACCCACAGCATCACAGCTGTAGGGATAATTTCCTGGGCTCAAACCTTTGTGCTCCCTCCCCTCCTGGAAGAAATGAAGAGACATGCCCATTTGTAGGTATGGCTCTGAAACCCGGCCTGAAGTGATCGGATGTGCAGAACATCTGGAGAGAACAAAGCGGCTGCGCCTCTCTTTTCTGTGGAATATCTCAGCTGGCTCTGTACTCACCTGTCCACTGAGTTCCTCTTATGTGATCAAATCCTGCCGGCGACTCTTAAACCATTTTAAGTAACCCAGGGATAAAGAAGAGGCCACAGGTTACACTCAAGGGGCTTGCATTTCTCTAGGGAAAGGACACTAAACCGCGGCATATAGACACTTAAGTGGTCATTTGGTTCCAAATGAGTGGTACTAAAGTAGGTTGGAAGTTCAAAACCAGGGTGTGCTAGGAGGGTTGGGAGAATCCAGGAAGGCTCCTGGAAGGAGGAAGCATCCACATTGAGTGTAAAAGTGTAGGTCATGTTCAAAGACATACCTGCAGAGCACACAGTGTGCCAAGCTTGGGCACCACTGGCAGAAAGGCATGGAGAGCGCCTGTGTTCAGGGCTGTGGAATGCATAAGTATGGCTGAGCTGAGGACAAGACAGAGCAATGTTTGCCCAGTTCAAGACTTTTCATTTGACTACCACCTGAACTATAATTTAATATTAAAAAAAAAACAAGCCTCAAACAATAAAAACCCCAAACTGTTTCTTTTCCTTGTGCTAATCTTTTCTCAAGCCCCACTTTGCCTTATAGAATCCCAGGTTTGGATTTGATGGTTTCAGTTTGTTTCGTTTTCTTGGTTGACATTCAGATAAATATGGATGTGGAATATAAAGAAAGGAAGCTCATCCCAGTGCCTTTTGACGTCATTAGGGATGTGGGGCTGAACACTGAAACTCCAGAGCAGAAGAAGGTTTAGAAGATTGGGATGGATCTTAGAATGTGAAAAGCCCCGGCGCAGGGAACCTTCCTCCAGACATCGCAGAAGGCAGACACTCCAGGTTATGGTGACAGAGGGGGCTGCTGTCGACACAGCTCGAGGCAAAGAGAAGGGCAGATCTGAACTAAGGTTTTGACGAACTGGATGAAATGCTCCTGACTCAGGTGTGCATAGGAGTCACTGGGGAAAGGTACCAGGAAGGTAGATGCTCTGCCCTGCCCCGCTCAGAGCTCCGGATTCCGTGGCTTGAGGGAATTGTGAGGAATCGGCATGTTTAGTGGTCTGTCTTTTGAGTGGCTTGCTTTGAGAAATATAGCTGGAGTGGGAATTGTGAACAGAAGAAGGGCTCCAGAGTCTCTGGTGGCCAGAGGTTGATGTCAGGATGTCGTTCTTTATTGATGTCCACATTTTTTTCCTTTACTTATTTTGATTTACTTAGCATGCACACCTATGTGCACTCACACACACACACACACACACACACACACACACACACACACACACACATGTGTTTACAGATGTATGCATGGAGGTCAGAGACACACTGCAGGAACTGTTCT